ATTTTTTAGAGACGTAATGGATTGTTAAGATTTTAAATAAAAAAAACTCACAATCAAGTGCAATAAAAGGATTTTTTTAAAGGAGGTCAATAGATACAGCTTAATTGCGCAAGTTTGAGAACTTTTCTTGGCTTTTAGTTGGAGCTGGAGAGAAAAAGCTGCATACGGCTGTTAGAATAAAGTTAAATGCGGTGACTAGGTCATATGCAGTCCTACTCTGAATACTAAGTCTTGTAACTTTCAGAGGGAAATTATCAGTACGTAACCTATATTTTAACTCGACGTCTGTTATCTTTAATTTTAGCTAGAGAACATATTTTTGTTCCGGAAATGGTGTAGTTATATGAATATTAATTTGAATTAAAAGCAATGTTTTGTACTACACCTAATAATACTACATCTAAAAATAAGGTAATCAATAGTGGAGCAAAAACACTTTCGTAGGTCATTTATTGAGGAAATTGTCTCTATTATTGACACCTAAAAAACAAAATGGCGTAAACCTTGTACGTATTGCTCCATCTATTTATTACATATCTATGATTCCAAAATTATGTTTTCATTTTTATAAAAGAAGGGGACAAACGAGCGGCGGGAACACAGCGGTGGACAACGACACCCATGGACATCCGCAAACACCAGAAGAACTACAGATAAAGCCGGCCTTTGAGGAAATTGTAGGCTCGCTTCTAAACGTAATGTTAATTTAGGAGGTTGTTATTAACTGTTTTTGCATAATTTGAACAAGTGAAACAAAATGATTCCTGACAATTAGACAGTTACTTTTAAAGATTAAACAAAGGAACTCTATTAAAGTTTTTTATATATGAAACCTTTAATAATGAGGTCGAATATTACCGAAGTATTTTGATATAATTTAGAAGGATAAGCTACATCTGAACACTAAAACGCCCCGACTAACTACCAATTTAGCCGCCACTTACTCGTAATTGGCGTTTAGCCCAATGGAGTCCGAGTTTTAAGATGCAAGCGAAGCGCCACACGGCTTTATTATGCGGCATCCAGCTACCACGACCTAGTATAGTACTAAACAGTAATGGTGAATGTCATCTGAACCGATGGGCATACGTTCAAATAAATTATGACAACGACTAATGCAGGCTGTCAAAATCAAAAAAGAGTCAAAAGAACTTTCTTGTATTGTAGCTGTTTTGATATGTATTTTTGTTTTATTTATTACTTATTTTTATAAATAAAACCTTAATGTGCGGCCAAAGTTTACATATTACCAGATTTTTTGAACCTTGATCAATTGTAAATTTATTTTGCAACTAGTAAATCATGTTAATAATAAAAGAAATAATTTAACATCATGTTAAAACAAATGAAATTAAAAATAGCAAAAAAGAGACGCCGCTGAAATAACATTTTGTTATCTCAATTAAGTAATTTGTTGAACAGATCGAGTTCATACGTTACTGAAATATAAATTTACAGCGACAAATGTTTAACCAAAATTACATTCCGGCACTGATGCCTTAATTACTGTAATGGTTGAAAATTCATTCAGTGCGAAGCAAACGCAATTAATTAATAATATTATATGATTTAAATAATTCATGTATCTTTATTACATTTTTGTCCGACTGTCTTTTGTCAATTTTTATGTTTTTACGCGTTAATATATAAGTACAATGAGCAATTCATAGAATATCAAAACTAATTGAGTTTTGTAATTTAAAAAAGCTAGCTGTTCCCTTGCGACTTCATCCGCATGAAATTATAAAAAAATCATTTTCTTGTTCACATTTGTTAAATTATCAATTGCAAATGACAAAATGACATGACATGATGACAAACCATGGCAACCTTGTTTCCTTGATGTTACAACAACAACTTATGGTCTCTTTCCCACATCAGGGTTTTTATCCAAAATATTTACCGTATAAAAAGAGTCATTCGAAAATATGCTGTGATTGCTGACATCTTAGACAACAAAGAAGTGTGTGTTTACGCTTTATTATATTAGTATAGATATATAGATAGCTTTTTCTGCCATCAAGTTACAAAAAACAATAAACGTGCATTTATGATATATTAGCTTCATGGTGCGACTTTGTCCGTGTCAAATGTATTTTTTAGCCAATAGCCTCTTACAGATTATTTTCTACATTTGAGACAAATATCATCAAGATCCGATAAGCTGTTTAAGAGATACTTAATTACAAACATCCATCCATTCAAACTTTACTACGTTATTAGTAAGTATGACTTATATGATTGTACTAGCTGTTGCCTGCGACTTCGTTCGCGTGGTATTAGAAAACATACGAACTATGTAAACAACAAAAAGATACGTATCCCTCGGGAACTGTAACTATTCCCGAGATAAAAAGTAGCCTATGTGTTCTTCCATACTATGCTCTAAACCTGTGCCAAATTTCACGGAGATCCGTTCAGCCGTTTAGGCTACAAACGCTAATAAACATCCATCCATCCATCGTAACTTTCGCATTTATAATATTTATATGATAGTATCTTTGCTGTTTTATGTGCCCCAGATAGTCTTGACCAATCTCGACGATTACGCACAAAAACACCCAGTTTTAAACCACTTTTGCATAGTTTCAGAATTTTAAACCATTTTCAGTTCTATCGAAACGATATTATATAAAAGCACATTGTTTGAAAACATCGAATCGTGAACAGTAAAAGAACTCGTTGCTATTTCTGAACAAAATCAATACCGCTCTGCATCTCGGTCCAACAGATTCCGGCATAAATTATTCTAGCCTTGATTAAAACATAAAAATACACGGAAATTTCATCGTTTATCTGAAATGAAAGCGATGCTTTAGTGCCGCTATTCAATTCGATATTTCAATCATTTTTTTATTTTGCTCTTAATTATTTGAAACAACGCGTATATATTCAAGAAATAAAAAAGTAACGATATTAAAACAAACTATACTGACACTAGTGACTAACTACACCTACTATTAAGCTGTGGAGAAAAATAAAAATCGATTAAAAACTCAATCTTAAAAATGTGAAAAAAATTATGACGTCTAACTGTAGCTTTAGTTTATTTTTATCCATATATCTCTTTGCACTTTTTTTTTGTATTAAGAACTAATTTTCTTTCCAAATACCCAAATAAAATGAACCAAGATAAACGAATTTAAAAATAGGCAATTTTCAGAATGATATTTGTTACTTTTTCTATTTCAGGAATCAAAAGTCTATTTATTTTGTCCTATAAAACGCGGAAATTTCTCAAGAGACCGTCTCGGTTCCACGAGGCAGGCTTAAGCTTTGATATTTCTTACTTTAAATTGCGTCTTCACTTTGAAAAATATGTTATTGTAGATCGACGGAATTTTATCTAGATCAACTTGTATAACAAAATGTTTTAACGTAAATTGTTATAAGATTTTATCACAAATTGTCACTTTTCTGATTAAAATCTCTGGAAGCATTTTGGTAAGATTTTCCAATAGAGAAGCTATAAAATAATTTTACTACCGAATATTAAATTTGTCTCAAAGTATGAGTTATTCACATACATGTCCTTACACGGAACATTTTATATAGGTATCAAAAAACAAATAAAATACAAGTAGGGGTAAAACTAGAAAATAACTAAAGTAATTATAAAAGTAGGTACTTTTGAGTATAAGATATCTATTTTAATAATGAAATACAGTCAATATTTCCATTTCATATAAAAAGAAAACAACGAACGCGATGTTCAAAAGGAATCATTTATAAGCTTACGATGAAAATTTGAAATTTTGTACAAAGCGGTCTTATGGGAATAAGTTAAAAGAGCTGAACCCTCTTAGCGCTTACGATATTACTCTGGCAAAAATATTTTCCTTGTACTGAGCCAATTCAAAATATACATTTACAACTTTTATTAACTTTCTACCCATTTCGACGGTTGTACAAAAATAACCATCGTTGTTTTAAAACACAGCAAAATGATTTTCAATTAGTAAATCCAGAGCATTTTTTTGCATTGAAAACCATACGGTATCTTTAATTTACAATTTTGAATACTTTATAAACCCAAAAAATATATAAACGTGACATTGATATAAATGTAAAACTTGTAACCATGTATCGGTTTAGGCGTAGACATTTCGTAGACATTGCTACGATTTATCAAAGTTGGGTTGGCTACGTGAGGTCATTCAATCAACTCCACTCTTACTCTTACCGATTTTTGTTGCCGTTAAACAATTTACTTACAATACGATACGGAGTCTTGTGGTCTAATTACAGAGATATATTTATAAAGTATTAAACAATATTCTGGAATCCGGATACTTTACCTTCTCCAGGCCCTACTTGATTTTTTGTTGAATAACTTCTGCCTCTTTTTCTCACCTACCCACTGTAAGTGCCTTACTGAGTTACTAAAAACATAGTAACGCAATAAATAACTGATATTAGAATAACGGACTTTCGAGGTTATTCATTTAAAATGCTTTATGAGAAATGTCTTTAATCCAAAAAAAATTTTGAATTACCTTTTTTCCATTTAAAAAATTAGTTACTTTAATTTTGGGTCCCAGAGGTGGATATTTTTATCTTTTTCTTTTCTGTAAAAACATCATTCGTATTGCCGTTACGTCAAGAATCGACGGGTTTACGTATTGGTGCGTGTGAAAGGTGAGGTTTTACGTTATGTAAAAATGTTTATGCGCTGATTTTTAATGATGTTTGATTGCATCCTTAATTATATTTTATGATTTTTAAGACATATGGAATATACTTCAAGCATATAGATACCAAAATTTTTCTAAGTAAAATATAATGCATAAAACACGCATTAGTGGTTGTTCTATCAGATTTTTGGAGCTTTCTTCTGTTAAAAATCAACACTGTAATGAGCATTAAGCACCGCGCCCGACGGGATTATTATTACCAAAATAAAATGGATAGGATATTGAAATTTGCATAAAAATAATGACATCAAAAGTAATAAATCCCAACGCATAGCTATGGTAATTGTACAAAACAGTATGACTTACCGGCAGCAATTACCGTGATTGCACCGAGAGTTAGAACAACACGAACTCGCAACGAACTCACTTAGTCGCACGCAAACCACAGGAAATCACAAGTCACATGCGTGAGTCGATCACCGCAACACAGCGGCGGCGGCACGCATCTGTGCTGCTGCACTATCACGTCACACACACTGCTGGGTCACAGTTTCTATGAGATACGTCCGCACAACAAGCGCACACGGGTCCGTCGCAGCCTCAACTGGCTGGGGCGACGCTACCGCGCGTGTCCTACCCCCTCCCCCGGACACCCCGCGCCCCGCGCCCCGCTCACCTCGCGCTACGGCCAAATAGAAATAAAGTATGCGCTGTAAGGACAGAACGTTAAAGAAAAACGTAGCCGAATGCCTCCAGGCTTGGTTAGTTAGATGCTACGATATTCCTCGAGCTTTCTGAAATTCTTTGATTTAATGACTTTTGTGTTGAAATAAATAATTTTCTTGACGTAGACATCTATGTAGATGTCTACGTCAAGATCGTAGAATCAAGTAACACACAAAACACTTTATTAATTTGATTTTACCAACTATCGGATATTTTCTTGAGTAAACAGTTTTGTTTAAAAATTCAAAACATAAACAGTGATGTTGCATATTCTTTGTATTAGTATACTGATCTTCTATGAATGGTTTACTTGCAGCTGCGAAGTTCTTATGCCGCTGCTAACGATCATTAAAAGTAAGGAAAAGGATTCCACGAACTTAGATATCATATAGGAAATTAAAAGCATTTTCTTTGAAGATATTTTCCGATACACGAGGCTATACATGCTATGCGGTAATTAAAGACGTACTTGTATTTACCAGTTTTTTTATAAAATTAATACAAGTTTTTTTATGTCTACTCTTTATACAGCTCTAACATATTGTGAGCATATTGTGTTTGTATATTGTCGCACGTCATCCGAACCTTACCCTGATATTATCGCAGTGGCGTTACATTGGATTAAGGAGGCCAACAAGTGTTTTTTTTACCTTCTTTGATATATGACATGAGAATGTGCTGTTAAAAAATAAACCTTTTTTTAACTTTGTACGTATTACTTTGTTATTATAATGAACAGTACCATCTAATTAGACTTAATTTATTTATTCAACGAGATACCTACTACGCCTGCAACTGTAAGATACAGGCGTGAGGCTTACTTTTAAATTTATCATTAAACTAACAACTTTTTAAGGAAAATAAAGAAGTAATTTTTAAGATCGTTTCCTTGATAGGTAGTTATTTAAAACATGCTATACGATAATTACTAATGTCTGTTTAATTAGCGCTTCACTAATTTCACTGTTTCGTTCCGTTCTAGGCCATTAAGGGCGGTTGACGGCGGCCCCGGAACGTTACGTAGGTCAATTGTATCAGGGGTTTGTTTCGACTTGACCTATTTGGCTACAGCATAAAGACTAAAATTGCGTAACACGATTGTTTAGATTTCTTTAATGTTATTCGATGTTTAATTGAACGATATTTTGCGGTTCATTCCCTTCAATTGAGGTATACGAAAATATAAAGCGGAGAATTCGAAGAGAATTTGAACATTATTTTAGTGATCGGATATCGTGGTCACCAGACCGTTACGTAAGCGCTACGAACTCCAAGTATTTATAAAGTTTTAAATGAATTACTGTTACAATGAAACAGAACGTTTTATTGTTTCACTCTCTTCTATAAAATTAAATATATATGTATATATAAATATATTAATTACATTGCTGTAAAGTTATAAAGCGTATATAATAGATGTAAAAGCTTCCTATCTTACTTCTTACTAATTTTTTTAATGCCAAAGTTTGGATAGATAAACTGCCTAACAGATCTCAATAAAATTTGGCAGTGATGTAAATATAGACTGGAAGAACACATAAACTATTTACTAAGTTTATTTTTATATGACCGCGCGGTCGGAGACGCTGGTAAAAGCTATCTTTATTAAAAAAAATAACGAGTACGGTAATGGTTAGCGGCATCCGGGTAAGTAACCACAAGCGAAGCCCCGGAAATGTAGTTCAGTCAGTTGCGGCGGTGAAATGTATAAACCTAAGTTAATTGCCGATTCACTTGAAACTTTATACCGCGAGTGTTATCCAATTATACCGGAATAGATTTTCAAGTCGAAGGTGAAATAGCAGCGTAAATAGTACTGATATCTACGCATATTTGCTTTAAAACTTCGAAGTTATAAAAACTGTCTATCAGCCTTTAGACGATATTTGTTATTCGTTTCGCTTTACAAACTAACTTCTATTCTTTTTTTTCGTCCTCTGCAACCAAGTTAATAACGAAAAATACCCTTCCTTTTTTTCCTTTCCTACCTCTACCTATTAAAGTCTTCTATCTTTACAGATGACTCTGGACATTCGATATTCTTCAAATTATAAAAAAATTACAGCTATGTTAACATGCATCGCAGATCGAATCGATTGCACTCAATCACGTTAATATCCTTGTCATCCGGAACTCTGTATCACATTTCATTAACATGTCCGATTGCAATTGCGTGTCCTAACGCCGCATTCTGTACTTGTAGGCTTCCACGCACTTTAACGCATTCCAGTATAAAGCAAAGAACTCTTCGACATTACTTAACTACTAACTTTCGCCCGCGACTCCATCCAGGCGGAATTAATAAAAACAAAAATGAGTAGCCTTTGTGTTCATCCATCTATCCTCTACATCTATACCAAATTTCATCGAAATCTATTCAACCGTTTAGGCTACAAACTCTAACAAAAATCCATCTATCCACACATCTAAACTTTCACCACTTACAATGTTAAGTATGATGACCACTCATAATACTTAGACGTAATAGACAAATACTTTAAAAATATACTTATACATAGCGGGTTAATTTTAATATACCTATTCTACCCAAAATTAAATAAAAAAAAATGGTTAAGAACAAAATTAGTACTGTGCTATAGGATTGGCGCAACACTAGATTATCAGCATTGACTTCCCTTCCCTATCTGACAGCTGTCAAATATCATTAGATGTATTGGAAATGTGTGCCATCCTGGCAAGATGAGTGTCTCTGAGTTACTTAATTACGCTAGTTGCAATTACATCTATTGTTTAAAAGTATGTACATCTATTTTGTTAAAAGTAAACAACGTATTTCAAAGATCATCAAATCAGAAGGGTGGATAAATATCAAATTAGCCGTTCAATGTATTCATTCGATCCCGCGACGGGCCCCTGTCCAGGGGTAACGTGATTTCATGGTCTCGCGGCTCCCTTCTTTCATTTTATTTCCCAAATGTGTTAATGAAACCCTCGAAACAAGGAGCAAATGAAACGAAAGGTCAAACCGTATCGTAAAGGGCGTTGCATTAATCAAACCCTGTATTATTGGCTTAAGAGCAAAGGATTTTTGGATGTGTTTAATTCAAAGTTAATAAAGAGTTGTGGTGGACGCCCCTCTTTAATTTCTAAGAGGTAAATAAATTACTTTTCAAATACAGTCGTGATGAGAAAACTTTCGTCTGATCAAATTCATTTCTTTATCAAATGATAGAGATTAAGTTAACCTTTTAAATGAAATGAATTAGTAAATTCAATTTTTACATTAAAAAAAATATTATTTATCAAATAAATTGCATACAAAATTTAAAATCCCTTGATTATCATTTTGAGACTTGAAATTTACTAAAAACGATAAAAAATAGTATCAATTAAAAACGAATGTAATTTGATAATTGAAATTCACAATAAATAATGTATGAAGGTCATAAATTTGAAATCTCTAATTAATAAATAAATTAAAAGAAAAATTGTAATGTAAATTAGAATCACTAAGTTGGCAATAAAAGGCTTTTTTTCTTTTTATTTATTTATAGGTCATAATGTATATGTGGGTGACAACATACTTCGCTAACAGTAAATAAGACATCAAATATAATACATAAGAACATTGCATAAACTGCAAATATCTTATATTATTCAGTGGGGAAAACTAAAATGTTTGTCGCGCATGCAATAACTACGAACATCCTATTAAGCAATAAAATCCTAAGCATGAATAACAATTGTGTTTATCTCGAAAAATAGGGGAAGCAGAATCTTACTGCTGGTTTAATCTCAAGAGTGTACTTAGGATATGAAAAAATATACAATTACAGTAGACTGCAGACTCTACTGTTATGAAACCAAATTATATCTTTTTGTTGAAACAGTTTCAGAGACTTGAAGTTTGAAATAGTATTGAAATTTAGCATCAATTTTATTACACCTTTGGGATACTCCTAATAGTAAAAGTAAAGCGCCAATAGCCTAATGGTTTGGGGTACGGACTACCGATCTTGCGGTCGAGGGTTCGAATCTCGCCATTCGACTATAGTCGTGAACTATATCCTAGCACAAGCCTAAAGCTTAGATGAATTGGTTAAAGGAAATTTTAGTAAATTAACAAAAATCTACTAATATTTTAATAATAAAAAAATATTTCTTACTCTTACAATAGTAGTAATTAGGTAAGTGATTTCTTTTTTTAACTAAATAGGAGAAACCAAAGTTTTTCTATCTAAATGTTCATAAAAAATTCATTTAAAAGATTGCTTAATTAACTTAGAACTTATCTTGTCCGCAATACAAAGTGAGTGAAATAAAATTTTACTTTCGCAAAGGAAACTGTTTTCTCGAAAGATTACTGGAAAATATTATAAAACTTGGCATACATACTCGCTTCATAAAATTGTTTTAGAGCGCCGTTATTATATTAAAGAGCGGCAGGTCGCTTTTAGAGCTAAATTATCGGACAAACACATGATAAAATGTTGCATTGAAATGTTTTATATTATGTTAGTTTCATAATTTAAAATTTCAATTATCAAGTGAAAAATTATAACAATGGTCAAGTATAAAAACGAATGACAACAACAAGCGGACAAAACGTTAAATATACATTTTGAAAACCGAATCTAAATTGTGTCATTGATTAGTAAAAGTCAAAGAGCTATTTATTGCTATACCTTTTCATTTTAATTTATAACAGCTAATTTTCCACTTACAACAAATAAAGTTAAAATTTTAGAGAAAAAAGTTTTGTCTTTTCGATTTTTAAACACAATCCTTCCTTGGCGATATTAAAACTTCCAACTCTAGTTATTTAAAAATGTCTATGAAAAAAGTACAGAAAAGTGATACATTAATGATATTTGTTACGTCAATAGTTAAGGTGGAATAGATTAG